TTATTACTAGTGAATAGAATTCTGAACTTGGGGACACTGTTCAGTTCATTGTTAGTATCAGTTAATAATTGCCTGGGGAGGTTCGTGTCCTGGTCTTGGTTAGACTCTGGAATAAAGGTTAAATTTTTCATCTTTAGATGCGTATATACAGTTACTTTAATATTGACATATCAAGAAAACGCAATTTTCCTAATCACTCAGGTTTCAGATTACCCCTTACCTCTTCTAACTTTGGGAAACTGGATGCAGGTTCTTTGTGCTGCAAGCCTCCTATCCTTCCTTCACAGCCCTTCAGCCCGCTCTCTCGAATTTGACATGCTTAGTGGCACCCTTATTTAATCAGCGACAAATCTCAGCAAAATGTGTGCAGAATTTAAATGGAACCACAAGAATTCTGTAACACTGATGAACAGCATAACAGTTTGTTCATTGCGGGATCCAGCAAGGAACATGGACAGATCCATCTGAGCTGCCCGGAAGCAAGCTTAGCTCAGAAGGTCCCCGATTACACGTGTTGCCCAGAGCTGCAGTCATCTCGAGGATCGGCTCAGGAAGAATCTGCTTTCAGGTTCCCTTCCAGGGGACTGGAAGGCCTCACAGCCCCAGGCTCGCAGGTTCTCTCCACAGGGCTGCTACCCAAGGTGCATCACAGAACAGCGTCACGCCTCTCCACACACAAACCGAGTATTCCACGTGGCACAAATTGCACCCACTGAAGCTCAGGTTCTTTTCTCTGAATTTCCTGTCAGGAAGACTTTTACCTCTGGTTTGTTGGCTGCTTATTTCCCTGTGATAACACTTTTTATACTGAGCTGTGATTATTTTGCCTATCTTTCCTTAGCTGTCAGGCTGTTCCTGTGTCTCATAGCACATAATGAACTTAGCGCAGTGATTAGTCAATTGACTGTCGGAGCTCCCAGAAAGACCAAGCAAAGCTAGTGAACTGCTTTAGGATCGTGCGGCTTATTCTGCTGGTCGGCTATCTGGCTTCTGGAGGAAGTTGGAGAGAAATAGTTGGGAGTAGGAAGCCAGTTTTGAAGTTATAATGTAGGGTAATGACAAATGCTACCACTAGGGGGAGTGCTAGCATTAATTTCCAACATTTAATAGACATTGAGGGTGTGTGAAGGCAAAAATATGAAACCATCATACACGTGGAGAAATCGCAACATGTTGGAAAGTCAGAATTTCCCAGAAAGGCATTAATAAATCCCAATTTTCCAAACTGCTTTGAATATCTTTCTACGAGTTTTTTCCCTTTTTGAGGCTCCTACTGGAGGGACTAGGTTGCATTCAGTTGAGTTGTTGGCCAGGGGACTCCCATGGAAATCCACAAATAATCCAAGCTGTACACTAAGACAAAATGATCCTCTCTGCAAACTCACAGTGGGGCCCCATTGCCAAGGACAACACCTACACAACTCTTTGGAGAAGCTGAGCTGGTGCCTGAATGGAGTCATCACTCCTACTCTAGTCTCTTTGGTGAGGGAAGGTACTCTGCAGGCGACCAAAGAGAAACGTGGACACCAACCTAGCCGCAAAAACCTTTGGACTACTATATGTGCTACCTACAAAATACGCTAGGGAAATGGTGACACAGAATTTGTGGGAGTAGCCAACCAATGCTGATTTGACCTAAGGCCGGCTCCACGAGAAGGAACTCAGAACCAGCTCTCCTTGAGTAACCAAGAACCAGAGACTAGATAGCCCAGAGACCTAGGGTAAAAATCAAACCCTACATGAAAAAAGGAAAGAAAGATAAAACAATTAAACGATCTTTGGTGATGCTCTGCCGTACTCATAGACCAGTGCCTTATCTAGCCATCATCAGAGAGGCTTCCTCTGGCAGCACCCAGACCTTATGCAGGTGGAGTCTAAATTGAAAGTCTCCATCAATCTGTCCCCCCTGCTCCCAGCTAAGGGAATCCTGTGGAAGAGGAGGCAGAACTATTTTAAGAGCCAGAGGGGATGGAGAACACCAGGAGAACACAGCCCTCTAAAAACGAAGCAAGGCTCATATGAGCTCACAGAGACTGAAGCAGCAAGCACAGGGTTTACACAGGTTGCATCAGGTTCTCTGCATATACACTATAGCTATTAGCTTAGGATTTTTATGGGGCACCTGACTGTGAGAACCAGTGGGTCTCCAACTCTGTGCCTGCTCTTGGGATTCCTTTACTCCTGTTGGGTTGCCATGTCCAACTTCAACATGATAGCTTTTTCTTCATCGTATTATATTTTATTTTTATCATGTTTAGTTGTTATCTCTTAGAAGCCTGTATTTTTCTAATAAGAGAAAGAAAGGGAGCAGATCCACAGGAGAGAGGAGGTGGGGGAGGAACTGGGAGGAGTAGAGGGAGGGGAAACTCTAATCAGAATATATTGTATAAGAAAAGAATCTATTTTCAAAAAAGAAAAATATATTATTTTTGGCAGCTTATAGTATACCAGTATGAAAGTTTCCTTGCGAATGTGTAGGAGCTGCTGGCTTTCATTTCCAAGTTATTAGGGAAAATTACCAATATCATGAATGTAGACAGATGTTTCTGTCTTGCCCAGTTCCACAGCCTTCTAGTTCCAAATAGACACACAGAGGCTTATATTAATTATAAACTGTTTGGCCTATTGCTCAGGCTTATTACTAACTAGTGTTTACAATTTAAATTAATCCGTAATTTTTATCTATGCTTAGCCATGTGGGTTGGTACCTGACATTCTTATCTTGCTTCCTCTGTGTCTGGCTGGCAACTGCATCTCTGCCTTTTCTCTTCCCAAAATCCTCCTAGTCTGGTGACCCCCACTTATACTTTCTTCCTGGCTACTGGCCAATCAGCTTTTATTAAATGAATATGAGTGACAAATCTTTATAGTGTACAAGAGCATTATCCCACAGCATATGAACATATTGTCACAGCCTAGCATTTGCTCACTGTATTTCAGCAGAAGACCTTTATATTTTACACACGCTTTATTATGATTTGAGTGATAACTTATGATATAACTATTCTTTCAGATAAAAAAGTAGAAGAGACTCAAAACTTGCACAATTTAAATAAGCTATATTTTAGAAGCTGGCTACCTGCTTATAGTGTGGGTGTGGGATTAGGCAAGCCTTGGTAGAGGCCATAAACTACCCCGTGTAGTCACTATCCAGGGAAACGCTCTGCCTAGAAATAAAAAAAAAAAAAAACCAGGATAGCCAAAATAATCCTGTACAATAAAGAAACTTCTGGAGGCATCACAATCACTGACTTCAAACTCTACTACAGAGCTACAGTACTGAAAACAGCCTGGCACTGGCATAAAAACAGACAGGAGGACCAATGGAATCGTATTGAAGACCCAGATATCAATCCACACACCCATGGACACCTGATTTTTGACAAAGAAGCAAAAAATATAAAATGGAAAAAAACAAAACATATTTAACAAATGGTGCTGGCATAGCTGGGTATCAACATGTAGAAGAATGAAAATAGATCTATATCTATCACCATGCACAAAACTCAAGTCCAAATGGATCAATGGACTTAACATAAAATCAACCACACTGAGCCTCATAGAAGAGAAAGTGGGAAGTACACTTGAACGCATTGGCACAGAAGACCACTTTCTAAATATAACCCCAGCAGCAAAGACACTGAGAGAAAAAAATTAATAAATGGGATCTCCTGAAACTGAAAAGCATCTGTAAAGCAAAGGACACAGTCAATAAGACAAAATGGCAACCTACAGATTGGGAAAAGATCTTCACCATCTCCACATCAGACACAAGGCTGATCTCCAAAATATACAAAGAACTCAAGGAATTGGTCATCAAAAGAACAAATAATCCAATAAAAATGGGGTACAGACCTAAACAGAGAACTCTCAACAGACAAATCTCAAATGACTGAAAGACAAAGACACTTAAGGAAATGTCAACATCCTTAGTAATCAGAGAAATGCAAATCAAAAAATTCTAAGATCCTATCTTTCACCTTTCAGAATAGCCAAGATCAAAAACACTGATGACAACTTAGGCTGGGGAGGATGTGGGGTAAAGGGAACATTCTTCTATTACTGGTGGGAGTGCAAACTGGTACAGCCACTTTGGATATCAGTATGACAATTTCTCAGAAAATTAGGAAACAACCTACCTCAAGACCCAGCAATACTATTTTTGGGTTTATACCCAAACGATGCTCAATTATACAACAAGGACATGTGCTCAACTATGTTGATAGCAGCATTATTTGTCATAACCAGAACCTGGAAACGACCTAAATGCCCCTTAATCAAAGAATGGATAAGGAAAATGTGGTACCTTTACACAATGGAGTACTACACAGCAGAAAAAAAATGACATCTTGACATTTGCGGGCAAATGAATGGATCTAGAAAATATCATGTTGAGTGAGGTAACCCAAACCCAGAAAGACAAATATTATATGTACTCACTCATAAGTGACTTTTAGACGTAAAGCAAAGAAAAACCAGCTTACAATTCACAATCCCAGAGAGCCTAGACAACAAAGAGGACCCTAAGAGAGACATACATGAATCTATTCTACATGGAGAGTAGAACAAAAAAAGGATCTCCTTAGTAAATTGAGAGCATAGGGACCATGGGTGAGGGTAGAAGAGAAGGGGAGAGTAAAGGAGGGGAGTGGGAAAAAATATATAGTTCAATAAAAACAATTAATAAAATAAAAGATAAAATGGATTAACAAAATCTCGTTTTTCATCTAACTTTCTAGGATCAAGAATTGAAAAGAACCTCCCTTCTCCTGTGCATCCTCTTAGCAACCTCTTCCCCTGCTCACTGCACACGCTTTAGTTTTTCTGGGCTCTCTGTTTGCATCCATTGGTCTATGATTCTCTTTCTTCTGCCAAACCATGTTGCTGTGGTCACTAGGACTCAGCAGTATATTTTGGATCATAATGGCTCCTGTTTTTTACTTTTTGCTCACGATTACTTTGTCTATTTGCATTTTTCTGGGTTTCATATATATTTGAAGGCTATTTTTATCTGTGAGGAATATTGCTGGTATTTATGGTAAGATTCTGTACCATTGAATCTGTAGATCTCTGTGTAGTATGGACATTTAAAAATTTTTTAATATTTAGCATAATTTCTTTATTGATTCTTGGGAATTTCACAATATGCACCCCAATTCCACTCACATCCCAATCCCCCCATATCCTCTTCTCACCCCTGCAGTGTCCCCCACAGATAAAAACAAAAAAAAAAAATTCAAACCAAACACAACCGAACCAAAAAAAAACCCTCTTTACTCCTCTGTCTTTCTCGCCTCTGCAACACCTCTGCATTCATCCTAGTGACATTGGGAGTCCTGGTGCGTCACACAATATGTCCTTTTGTGTAACACTTGTCTTTCACAGGTTCATTGCAATGAGTCATTGGTGTGGTTCAAGGCCTTTGGTCTCTGGCACAGCATCGTCAGTGGATCCTCACCTAACTCCTCTCAGATACCTTGAAGCCATCCCGGGTCCTGGAGATCCTGTGGGCATCTCTCCACAGGAACAGTACCTTCATGAGCTCCAGCAGGTCCTAGACAGCGTAGATGTTAGGGTGCGCCAACCCAAAAGGCCCACCTGTGGGCCTGGGCAGTAGTTGAGCTGGTCACTCCAGGTCACTGAGGCTGCCCCAACTCAGGGAAGCAGCAAAACCAGCTCCCCTCTGCCCATACGGTCAGGGCCAGTTCTTCCTATCCTATAGTGAGGGGTGGGGCCATCACTCCCAAGTGCAGTGTGGGGGAAGGAGGAATAGCTCTCCCATGAGGGTCATGGCCAGCTCTTTTTCTGCCGTGTCCACTGACGGGCAGGGCCTGCTTTCCCAGGATGATCGAAGGGTGGACTGCATCATCAAAGGGTGGGCTGGCTCACTGTGGTCCTCCGATTTCATCACCCATGATTCCTATGATCCCCTGTGGGAAGTACAGACATTTTAACAATATTCTTGTAATTCATAATTCATGAACAAAGAATGGCTTTCATTTTTATCTATTTAAATATGTATATATTTGTGTCATGAGCTTATCATGATCAAGTTATGTAGAACTTGCTATGTCAGCGGTCATGCCCTGAAGTCACATAGGTTGGCCCTCCTTGGCCACCAAGGTGCTTGGATTAAAGAAGGACACCATTATACCCTGTGATGTTTTATAGTTTTTAATTGTCGAGATCTATTATCTTGGGATAAATTTCTTCCTCATTATTATCTGAGGGACCAATCTCACAGTAACTGTGAGATTGCTTCCTGGATTTCCGTATCTGATAACTTGCTATTGCCATATAACCACACTATTGAGTCTTGTGACCCGAAAGTTTGCTCGGTTGTTTATCAGTTCCAGTAGCTTCTCCAGGGGAATTCTTATTCTCGTGGACAATATGCCAAGCTTCACATGTAGATGCATACAGTGTGGGAAAGATCCAGTGGCTGAAGAAATGTGGGTCCAGAGGCAGAGACAGCTGCACCTGTGGAACATCTTGGTGTGCCTTCATCTGCAGGATGTGCCGTTGGGTGGTTCCCATCAACCTTAGCGTAGCTGTGAAAGGGAGGCTGTCCTGCATGGCACTGGCATGGCCGGGGGTCATGTGAAAACAATTTTGATGGTGTGGTCAGGTGAGGGAACCTGATATAATGTTGCAGAATGAGTCAAGGCAAGAACATAGAAAAGTGTTGTGTGGCCGGTTCTTCTAAATCATGATGATATGCAAAATCCAGGTGGTGAAATGCCACAGATCTTGTAACTAAGGTAGCAGGACGGAGCGGATGCTGCAGATCTTGTAACTAAGGTAGCAGGACGGAGTGGATGCTGCAGATCTTGTAACTAAGGTAGCAGGACGGAGTGGATGCTGCAGATCTTGTAACTAAGGTAGCAGGACGGAGCGGATGCTACAAAAAGGAAAAAGAAGAGAAACAAAACTTGGAGGAATTTCTGAAGCAACATATATTTTGGATTCAAATTTTCATGTTTTAGACTTTTGAGGTCTATGTTCCCCATGTTTATTCTCATGCTTCTTCCTTTGAGGCTGGATAAAAAAACAGGCTGACTGACAAGTTGCGAGGAATCTGAACAAAATATCATGCAGCTCTCAGGGTAATAAAATAGGCAAGGAGCTTTAAAGCCGTGAAAAGCGCTGTAGTGGCTGATTTTGTGCGTCAATTTGACACAGGCTGGGGTCATCAGAGAGGAAGCAGCCTCTGTTGAGGAAATGCCTCCTTGAGATCCAGCTGTAAGGTATTTTCTCATCTAGTAATCAACGGAGGAAGGCCCAGCCAATGGTGGTTGGTGCCATCCCTGGGCTGATAGTCCTGGTTCTGCAAGAAAGTAGGCTGAGAAAGCCATGGGGAGCAAGCCAGTAAGCAGCGTCCCTCCACGGCCTTTGAGTCAGCTCATGCGCTCTGGGATCCTGCCCTGTTTGAATTCCTGTCCTGACTTCTTTTAGTGATAAATGTTAATGTGGAAGGGTACACCAAATAGACACCTTCCTCCCCAACTTTCTTTTTGGTCATGGTGTTTCGTGGCAGCAACAGAAACGTCAATGAAGACAAAGGCTGATATCATTTATGGTTGGTTTCTACTGGAGAGATTAAATAGGTATCAGAATTAGGAATATTATAGACAACCCCCATACAGAAACAAAGCAATAAAAATGACAACAACTGCCTCTTTGTAAAGTGGGCTCAGTTTTCCTTTTTGTATTCTATCACAGACGGGAAGTAAGGTGCACATAAATAGGTCAGAGACCAGCCATGTGGAGTCGGTTCTCTCCTTCCGTCTTTAAATGAGTGCTGGGGACTAGATATTCATCTTGTGGCAAGTGTGTTTACCCACAGAGCCCTTTCTTCTGCTCCATAAACTGTGTTCCTAAAGTAGGACCATAACTTCATGCGATGACACCTTTAGTTCTGTGTTGAGTTAAAAATAAAGCTAAAAATATTTACTACCTTACTCCTTGCAGGATCATGCATTGTATAAGACAGCAATAAAGCAAAATTCAGAGGGCAGGGAGGGGTTGAGCTCTTGTGACAGTCTTTGCAGCCTTTGCACCAGTGACAACCCCTTTGTCCCCACACCCACACACAGATTAAACATGACCTCTACCATTGTCCATTTTTCATTAGCTGAACTGCTTCGTTGACCTTGTTGAGAGCCAGGGTGTGGGTGATTAGTGGATCTAGGCTGAACTTCTTTGTCGTGTAGTCAGAAACCAGCTTAGGGATTTCGTCCTTGGTTTTCCAACCTGGAAATACGCAAAAGAGCACAGATTTATGAAAGATTCTACCTATGAGATTTCAGTATAAAAGAGTGTGGGGAATAGGGTGTGGATTTGACAATACCATATACACGTATTTAAAATTCTCAAACCATAAAAAAGAGATTAAGGAGAAAAGAAAGGAAGGAAGACAAAAAGAAAGACTGGCCAATGTTAAACTGGTAGAGATGTTGTGCTGTCCCATCAGCCTGCCCTAACAGGATGAGGGCTATTTCAACCACACAACCCACAAACAGGTTTGTGCCCTTCATGGGACCTCTGATGCCCCAGACACAAAGGTCATAATTCAAAGCCAATAGGAAATCTCATCTTCCATGTTCCCGGTGTTAGGTTGCAAACTCTGTAGACCAGTGAATTCAAACAAAATGTATACCGAAGGCCACAGTCTTGAGATGCACAGATGAATGTAAAGGTTAGAAATAAGGACGGGGGAAGTAGTTCAGTTGGGAGAACTCGTGACTGTGTGAGAGAGGCTCTAGGTTTGCTCTTCAGTACCGCACTCTCTAAAAGCATAGACATCTCCTCCCTCTCTCTCCCCATCTCCCCCCTCCCTCTCTCCCTCGGTGTGTATTTCTGTGCACATGCACATCTGTGTTTGTGTGCTGTGACATGCAGCTTCATGAACAAGCCAAATAATCTATGGGCAAAGAAGAACATCATGGCAGCAAACTTGATTTTTTTAAAGAAAATAAAAAGGATATGATTGGAGAGGTGGCTCAGTAGTTAAGAACGCTGGTGCTCTTCCAGAGGACACAGGTACCATTCCTTATACCCACATGGCAGTTTACAGCTGTCTGTAACTCTGGTTCCAGGATATCTGACTCCCTCTTCTGGCCTTCATGGGCATAAGCCATATATGTGGTGTAGACAAATATGCCAGCAAAATACCCACATAAGAAGAAATAAGAATTAAAAAATAAAAAGTGCTCAATAGCACAGCCTATCTTATAAAAGAGAAAAAGGTTATTTATTACTTAAAATTATGTGGTGTGTGTGTGTGCATGCAGGTACCATAGAAGGCCAGAGATATTGGATCTCCTGAAGCTAGTGTCATCATGTGGACGCTAGGAACTCTGGTCCTTTGTAAAACATACATGCTTATAACTGTTGAGCCATCTTTGCAATCCTCAAGCTTCCTTTTCTTCATTCCAATTAATGTTGGGTTCTCCAGCCTTTCTACCTATTCTCAAAACGGCCCCAAACTCTTCTAACAGGTGTATTTTAAAACTTGATTATCCTATATGTAACCACAAATTCTAACTAGGGTTATCTGTTGCCACCCATGAGTCTCATCTATTTCTCTTTTGTTTTTATTAGTGATCTAATGAAGTATTTTTTTATGTCTGCAAAAATACTTGTTGTTTATTATTTCAGTGGGAGAACATTAAAAAAGACCCTGGACTGGGGAGGTGGCTCAATAGGTGGAAGTACTTATGGGGAAAGCCTGGAGAACTGAGTTTAGTGTCCTGAAAGTCCAGCTCCCAAGTTATTACCCAGGATAACTCAGAGACTACTTCAGAAGTGGCTTTGTAACTTTTTTGTTGCCTCAAGCCTCCTGTAAAATATGTATTTAAACTAGGTATCCGAAGAAACATGGGAGAATTAAAACAGAGAATTTGAACTAAAAAGAATTAGAGAAAATTAGGGCAAGGGAATTAGAATTGCAAAATAAAAAAAAAAGGAGAATGACCCTCAGATTGTGGGTGAAGTTATTATAGAAATCTTTCAATCCTCGCTTGGGAGAAGTAGCCTCTGAGTTAAATGATAAGAGATAGAGCCATTTATCATGGCAACACAGATATAAGACTTTTACCATGGCAACACAGGTTTCAAGGTTTCTGGTATAAGACTGAGACCAGAGACTGGGGCCACAGTGTCAGGTGAGACAGAGAGATCTGCACACAGAGTGCAGACTTTAGCAAGTGAAGATTTGACATAGTCTCTTATGTTGCTTTGCGTTAGAAACCTTGGTTAGGCATCTGTGACTTTCTCCTTGTGCATATCTGTAAAGTTTTTAACTTATGATTTGTTTATACAAACATTAAGTCTACTTTGAACTTGCTCTGAGGTAAAAATGAGCTAATTGTGTGTAGTTTGTCTTAGACACGGTAGAAATTGTTGTTTTCTATGTTAGTTCTAGTAAAAAGAACAAAGCAGGCTTTTACGTGCCTTACATTCCTCTTGGGACAATATATTTAGCTATGAAGCATATCTTAGTAAATTTTCTGTATATCAAAATTATACAGATTAATGAAAAGTCATCTTCCTGACCAGCTATGGATATATGTGCCCATAAGACTGAGACACAATCATGAGATTACACACTAGAGTGCAGTGTTAGGGAGACACCACAGCTGCTTTTGCACATGTGAAGTTACACACAGGAGCAACAATTTCCATAGTTGGTGGTCCCATTAGCCTTGACTGAATGGGATTCTCCTCCATCAGAAAATGATTCCTCTGGTGGGTTGACATCTGAATGCTAGTTGTCACCTGCTGTATACTCCATGACAGAGTTGGACTCCTGGAAGCCTTTCAAGGTGGACTAAATCTTACTCCACAAAATTGACCATTGACCTCCACATAAGCACTGAGGCATGCACATACCTCCCTCTTACACACACACACACACACACACACACACACACACACAAAGATAAAATATAAAATAAAGTGAAATGAATAAAGAAGGAAGGTCCTGGGTACATAGACAAAATTAGGCAGTGTTTCTCAAAAACCAAGTAAGGTTGTGTTGTTTCTCAGCGAGAGCACTAATGGGATATTGAATAGGGGAAGTTCTTTCTTTCACACATTATAGGAGGTTAGGAGATCTGTCTCGCCAACATTAGCAATACCCTTTGCCGGAAGCTGTAAAACCAGAGGACTATATTCTTTATAGGAGGAATTAACTTCATTAATGACTGTTGAGTGAATGTTTAAGTGCTTAATGAATTTAGTTACAAGGGTTGTTCAAGATAACGTGATCTTACGTTACAAAGCTTAGCTGGACACATGCATTTGGAATTAAAGCCGTCATAATAAACACAGGATAGGGAAGCAGCAGTGGTGTTTGTTCAGTGATCCAAATAGAGGAACTGGAGCTGCAGTGTTCAGATGAATTAGGCCTTTCCCCCTTACATGTCTTGCCATTTGCTTGCTGTATAAATGGAGTGGGTAACGCTCTCAATGTCTGACAATCCATCGTCACTGGTCACTTGGAGATCACAGTTCCCAGTGCTCAGCAAACTCCTAATTCCCTGGTTTTGTTCAAGAACTCACATTACCTAGAGTCTTTTTTTTTAAATCGGATTTTTTTGGGGGTGGGGTGGGGGAGGATGGCTCAGCAGTTAATGGCACTGACTGCCCTTTCAGAGGACCCAAGTTTGATTTCCAGATGGTTCACAACTGTCTATGACTCTAGTGTCAGAGGCCTGGTTACCCTTTTCTGTCCTCTGTGGGCACCAGGCACCCAAGTGCTACACAGACTTACATGCAGGCAAAACACCCACATACATTAAAGTAAATAAATATTAAAAACTTAAAAACTGCAACAACAAAAACATTAGGTTGCTTGCAGATGAGCCCAGAATCCTAGGCAGTAATACATAATTTTATTTATTTTCTACTTTAAATAAAAGTTTTCTAATGCTTTTTATATTTTTAATAATGGAAAATAAAGGATTACATGAAACGATTTATATCTCTGGATAGAAGAATTTTCATTTGCTTGGAATGAAAGCACCCCCACCTCACGTTGGTGGTATTTCTTGAAAAGTACAAATCCATCATTTTTCTGGGATAAGATATTATACTGCTTTGACAATGACTGCTAATAGTTGAGCATATACCTGAAGGAATCCCAGTGGACATTTATATAATTTAGCTGGGGTACTGCTATGGATTTTAATACTGTTGAAGTTTGGGTAGTTTTGAACCTAGGACTTCAGCAATTGACATGACTATTCTGCCACTGATCTCCACCCCCAGCGCCTAGACTCTGCTGTGTTGCTTGTTTTGCAAATCAATAAAAACTTGCCTTTTTCTTTTTTCCCCTCCTTGTATGAAATAAAGCTTACAAAGAGACGGAGGACATAGTTAATATCTACTTTTTAACTCGAAATTTAAACATTGAAACAAGACTGTCATCTAGAATTGGTTGATGTCTTTTCTTGGGCACTTCTGGCCCATCTTCTGTTTCCTCATTCTAGCTCCTCACTGGTAGAATTCAGCTTCTTCTGTACGTACCTCCCAAAACTGACCCTTTCAGACTACGTCCTGAGAAGAACAACTGGCTACTGATGTTGAGTTGAGCCCTAGAGGCAATTGCTCCAACGATCACGCAGACCCCATGGTCCTTGCTGCAGGAGGCCAGGGCCGTTGCCTGTTGTAAAACAATGTAAGACAGAAAAAGAATAAAACCACATACTTTAAAGTTGGACCACTCTTATTCTTCTTAACTGCTTAATGATCTATGACTTCCCTTTTGATTTCCCGTCCTTTTTGAAATAGCATCAATATTATGAAGATGTTCTGTATCATAGGTAAGTTATTGTTTCTGTCTAGAATAGCATTTGGGATTTTAGGATTCAGCAAACTGAACAGAGATGAAAACCGTTATAGACCATTGTGGTATCAAAGTAACAATGGTTTCTGTAAGGACTGTGACTTTGGGTGGCTGGTTTGAGCTGATGGTTTACTTTTAGATATCAAAAGTGGTAGTCAGATGTTTGTGTAGTATGTCATGCTAACAAAGTGATCACACACCATTTTCCCATTCATTATTTTCAAACAATTTTTTGGGGGGGGGGGATTGACTTAAATCTTATATTGACAAAAATGAGGAAAACCCAGGCAAAACCATGGCAGAAGGAGGAACTTACAGAGTTATCTTCAGTGAGAAGAGGCATGATGCCTCCATTGCCATGCCTACCCCAGGAGGTCAGGGAATGAACAGATGAGGAAGCATGAGGGACTAGCCGCATTTCAAACCATCTTCACATATGCATCTGGGTCTAGCTGTAGCATTTCTGATCTGTACTCACAATTTTTTTTTTTTTTAAGAACAAGACTGGGCTAAAGGCTTTGCTATGTGCTTCCTTGGGTGAGAGGGTTATCTGCAGTGAACTAGAAGAAATTTTGAATTCTGGGAAAAATACTCAGGTTGGAAGAGACTCCTCTTTGCTTTCTTTCTATGTAACTTCCTGGAAGATGGGTCCATGCAACAGTTATGCGTCATTCTGAGGCCAGAAGATGGCTCTCCTCAGAGTCTGGTGTGATGGCCTTCATGTTTATCTCCAAGAAGGAAAACCACCACTCATTTAGTCAGTGAGGAAATGCTTTGCTTGGTTCAGAAGCTCACACCTGACATGGAAGCTTTTACTGAAAGACAAAAGCTCATTGTTTTCTAGGCCAATTTAGCAGAGCCTTATCTCGCTGATGTGTTCTGGCTTGAAAATCTTTGGCATCTCAGGCCACCTGTGGTCATGTAACTTCTGACTGGGGGTTCTTTATGCTTAATTGAGGAAGTATTTTGGAACAGAGGGGTAAACAAACACAATAGCAGACTTGTAGATTCTGTTGGAAAGTAAATAGACGGAATGTCCTAGTGGGTTTGTCATGGACTACAAGGAAAATTAACTAGAGGGACATAGAAGAAATTGTAAGATGTTCATTCAGTTAAACTAGCAAACAACAACTAGTGTAAGATGCAGGTAGTTGTCACTTCCAAAGACCACATACCACTATTTCTGGGTTTCCAGTGACCTCAAAGGAGAAGTCTGTTCCACCATTCGTCATATCAAACAAGACTTCCTGAACGGGATTGTCAAAGTCTCGCGGGCTGATGCACTCAGTGGCACCCACTGTCTTGGCCTTCGCAAACTTATCTTTGTTGGTGTCCACAGCGATGATCCTGGCTGCTCCAGCTGTTTTACAGCCAATGATGACAGACAGACCGACACCTCCAAGGCCAAACACAGCACAGGTGGAGCCAGGGGTCACCTGGACACAGATCAAAAGCAAAACAAACATGAACATTCCCCTCTCTGGTAGAGGGTGATGCCAAGTCTCATGCTAGCAAGGAAGCTTCTACCAGTGAGCTCTTCCCCAGTCCTCTGTGTCCTCAGTGACTCTGGGACACCAAGACAGTTGCTTTGCACAAGACAGAAGGAAAGCGTTTTCGAGGAACGTACACCTAGGGAATTTTAGTTTCTCAGGCCGTTTCTGGGTGTGTGATACTTTTACCACAGGAACAAAAACCTACCTACAAGGAGAGTTTCAAGTCCCAGCGTGGAATTTGCATAATGGAAGTGACATAATGAAATTTCACTGCATCTTAGGATTCATTTGGACAGAGTATTTTGTTAGTTCTAGACAGTTTGGAATTATTTCAAACACCTCCATCTTCTTGAAATCTTCCCTTTCTCTTTTCTACCAAATCACTTCAGAGTCATTGCTCATGGGAGCTCTCTCTCTTTCTCTCTTCCTTTCTTTTTTCTTTCTTTGTAGCATGCAGTGTATTACCAATTTAAATTGAACCCCTTCCAACCTGATAGAGTGTGCATCTTGAACACTGTGCTCTAAAGACACAGGAAATAAAGGCCTACTCCTCAGCCCTTGACATTAAGTATCAAAACTTTCTGAAGGAGCCCAGTGGAAGGAAGACCTCCTGTAAGACCATATGCCCTAAGGGGATTTTAGGATACCTGCTCTCCTTTTTTTTTTTTTTTTTTGGTCTCCCATTTATAATCTTTCTGATCCTATATACCATGAGAAGCTCAGCTTTGCCCCACTCTGCATTCCCTGCCGTGACTTCCTGCCCCAAGGTAGCCCCCAAGACTGTGTCACAGACTAAAATCTCCAAAGTCTCTCCTTCTTTGCAGTGTGGCGACTATAGGTATTTTGTCCCAGTGACACAAAGCTTATGAAGATACATCCCATCTTTCTGTGGAGCCTTGAGACTAAAACACAGTGGACAGTGCAAAGACTTAAATATCAAAGGCCCCTTAAAGAATTGAGCTGGGGTGGTTCGAGTGATATTCCAAGAGAGGGAGCTTAATGTCGTCAGAGTGAGATTCCCTGGCCAATGGAATCACCTCTCCATCGCTTCTCTTAAACCCTTAGAATTTTATTTGGTGTGGCCTTATGGGAGTAGGTGTGGACTTGTTGGAGGAAGTGTGTCACTGTGGAAGTGGGCTTTGAGGTCTCATTTCTGCTCAAGCCGCGCCAGCGAGACAGACTACTTCTTGTGGCTTGTGGGTGGAGATGTAAGAACTCTCACCTCCTCCAGCACAATGTCTTCCTGAATGTTGCCTTGCTTCCCATCATGATGATAATGGACCAAACCTCTGAACTATAAGAGAGCTACCTTAATTAAATGCTTTTCCTTTATAAGAGTTGTGTTGAATGTGGTGTCTCTTCATAGCAATAGAAACCCTAACAAAGCCATTGGTGTACTTGGATTGAATCCAGGACCTTGCGCATACTAGGCTTGTGTTCTGTCCTTGAAGGACATCTTCAGTACCTCTCCCTTTCATTTTTAAACATTCACGGCTAAGTAATATACTATTAAATTAGAATGTAAACTTGATGAGTTTTTAGCAGCAGAACAGTGGAAACTTTCACTTTTGCTTGTTAAACAAACTGGAATATGGAAAGACATAGTCATATTATAATGTATTATATTTGAAGTCTGTATACCTATACTCCTGGATGTCAGGGAATGCATGGGAAGGCAACCAACTAATTTAATAAACTTAGCAGTGCTTAGAGGTAAGCTTATTTGCTTGTTTTTCCATGGGGTATGATCATGTGGTGCCCCAACGTGAAAGGTATTTCACCTCCTTATCCCACTCGTTCTATTTTAAAATTAATATAAATGCCCCTCACCTTGGCAGAATTGATCGCAGCACCAAAACCAGTGGCAAACCCGCAGCCAATTATGCATGCTTTCTCCAGATGAGCAGCTTCATCAATCTTGGCAACTGAGATTTCCTTTATTACTATGTATTCAGAAAAGGTGCCTATAGCAATATATTGATGCACCATCTTCCCTCTGCAGGTGACTCTGCTGCTGCTTTCAGATATCAGATGTGTCCCTGACAGTCTTTTTTATAGGTGAAAGGAAACAAACTTTATGTTATGTTGTATTAAAAAGCTTAAATCTCTTCAAGTGAAGCTGAATTAGACTTTAAGAAGATGGAGTTATAAATTATAAAGGCTTACCTAATTTCCTTACACATGTTGTTCTTGGAAGTGAGGCAAGTGTTACATTCTCCACATTGTGGTAAACATAAGATGATGACTTTGTCACCTAAAAAGCAGAGTAACTTATTAGGGTGCTAGTGTTAAGTAGTCTGATTTCTTAGGATGTCAATGAGGCACCAAGAAGATGTGATAATGACGAACTATTTCCACGTTTAATTGTGTTTGGCCACCAACATAGTTTCAGCATCCTGTCCAGCCCCAGGCCATGGCTGAATCTCTAGGAGCTGGCCCTAGATCTACCCACCTTGTTAGGCACTTTTGGAATACCCAGGCAAAGAGTTTAGTTGCGTGCCTTTGTGGATGGTGGATTGAAAGAAAATGGCCCTCAAAGGGAGTGGTACTATTAGGAGGTGTGGCCTTGTTGGAGAGGTGTGGTCTTGTTGGAGGCTGTGTGTCACTGTAGAGGTGGACTTTGAGGTCTCATGTGTTCCAGTTATGCCCAGTGAGACAGTCCAGTTCCTGTTGCCTGCAAGTCAAGATGTAGGATGCTCGACTACTTCTCCAGCATTATGTCTGCCTGCATGCCACCATGCTGCACCATGATGGTAATAGGCTGAACCTCTGAAAATGGAAGCCACCCTAATTAAGTGTTTTAACTTTATAAGGGTTGCCGTGTTTGTGGTGTCTCTTCACACCGTTAGGAATTCTAAGACAGCCTTCAACCACATCTTATGTCCTCTCCATTAATTTCTGCTGTGGGGCTTGAGTCAGAATAGATACAGTGCTCAAAAAATGAGGTCCAGGCTGGGGGAAAGATTGTCCACAAGCTGTGCTTTGTATTGTACTTCATCTCTCTCTTTGTGGCTATGGAGAGCAAACATATTCCTATGTGTGTGTGTGTGTGTGTGTGTGTGTGTGTGTGTGTATGTCCTTTGTACCTCTATGTTCAAATTTGGAGGAGAAGATCAGAGTGTCTTGCTTGGGATGAGTTAACTGACTGATTCATGGTCTGATATTGCCAAGTATAACAATTTATTATAAATTTTAATTTAAAAGCTTTGTTAGAATTTAGGCTCTTCTATTTTGGTTTTAGTTTTGGGAGGTCAAAGATCTCTGAAATGAAAACTTCGAAGCTGAGAAGAAAGAAATTGAGGAGGAGAAATTAGAAAAGGGAAGAGACTCCCATGCTCGTGGATTAGCAGATTGATCATCATGAAAGTTATCATCATATCAAATTATAGATTCAATGAAATCCCTATGAAAATGCCCATAACATCCTTCACAGAAATAGGACCCCCCCAAAATCCTAAGATTCATATGGAAGTCCCAGGATAGCCAAAGCAATTCTGAGCAAAAAGAACAATTCTGTATAAATTATCATACCATATTTAAATTTGTATTACAGAGTTATAATACTAGGACAAAACCAGACATAGAAGATCCAAACTTAAGTGCATATACCGATAGCCATCTGATTTACACTGGGGAAAAGACAACAGCTTACACATATAGTGTTGGAAAAACTGGTCTTTCATATAGAAGTTTGAAATTAGACCCATATATATTACTCCTCTCTCTCCCCCATAAAAAAAGAAAGAAAAAAAGAAAAAGAAAAGGAAAAACTCCAAATGTGAGCTCTGAAATGCTGATGCTGAAACTCTAGAAAAAAAGCATAGGGGGTATTCTACAAGATATCAGTGTAAGAAAGGGCTTCCTGAGTGGAGCTCCATTTGTTCAGTAATTGAGGCCAAGAATTGACAAGTGGGGCCTCATAAAACCAAAAGGCTTCTTCTGTATAACAAAGGGAAGACTCAGTTGCGTGAAGAGGAAGCCCAGAGTGGGAGAGGATGTGTGCCTGCTGCGTATTTGATAGGAGATTAATATCCAGAATAGATGAAGAACTCAAAGAATGAAGGATCAAGAAATCAAACAACTCATTTTGAAAAATGGGCTAACGACCCGAACAGAGAGTTCTCAGAAGAGATAATGGCCAAGAAATATCTGAAAAATTGTTCAACAACCTCAGAAATGAAGGATATGCAAATTAAAACCACTTTGAGATTTCATCTTACCCCAGTCAGAATGGCTTAGGATCAAGAAAACAACTGGCAGGTAATGATGGTAAAGACGTGGGGAGCTGGGACCCCTTCGTCACTGTCAGTGGCATCACAGACTGGAATCCACTCTGGATTTGCAGTCATTTTGAAATAAGCATGCAGACTTAATTAAAAAAAAATCAAAATTTGTTTACTATATGACCTAGCTAAACTATTCTCTGTCATAAGCCCAAAGGACTCACATTATTCAACTCCACAGATATTTGCTCAGCCATAATTATTGCCACTTATTGAAAACAGTGGTAAGATAGAGGCTATATGCTCCTCAGTGATGAAAGTATAACGGGATCATGGTCTTGATACACAACCCAAAGAAAATGAATTCATGACATTTACAGGTAAATGGATGGAGCTGGGAAATATCCTGGATAAGGTGACCTGGAAAGACAAATGCTGTTTGTTCTCTTATGTTTGTGAATTTGTGTTTTGGATTTGAGTTTAAATCCTGGAGCACGCCAGGTGGTGGTGGCGCACGCCTTTAATCCCAGCACTCGGGAGGCAGAGGCAGGCGGATCTCTGTGAGTTCGAGACCAGCCTGGTCTACAAGAGCTAGTTCCAGGACAGGCTCCAAAACCACAGAGAAACCCTGTCTCGAAAAAACCAAAAAAAAAAAAAAAAATCCTGGAGCAACGTCAGAAGCCAGGAAGACACAAGGAATCCTGGGAGAGAAAGTGAGGAGGAATTATAGGGAGGAGGCCATAGGACAAAGATGCTGTGAAGGAGGAAAGGGAAGAAATAGTGTGAGGACCAAACTGGGGAGGGAAAAATAGGGTGATACAGATGGAGAAAGAGTCAGAAAGGATAAATAACACTAAAAGAATTGGAAAAATCCATAATGAAATATTATTTTATAAGCTTAAAAATAAACATATAATAAATATATTTACACACATATACACATCTATACATATGTATACACATATATACATACAAATATATCTATGCACACATTTATGCATATCTATACACCCATATAAACATGCATATATATGATTTATACATAACCATACACACATACATATCTATACATACATTTACACATCTGTACCCACATTTATACTTATCTGTATACACAATAAATATCTTTATATCTAAATAAACACATACACATCTACACACGTATTTATACATATATACACACATGCACACACATCTTATTTAAATGGAGTTTCCAAACATCAGGTGACAGTGTTCTCCAGGAGCTACAGACTATCAACCTCCCAATGCCAGTGAAAGTCCACCTCCCTTCAAGTTGTTGGCCAAGGGGATCCAAGAGACCCAGCCAAACAATATGGGCCACTGCCCTCACTTTATTTACCTAATTATTCGTTTTTCTCTCCTTACTTGTTAGCGCTAGGTTGGGTGCATTCCACTTCAAAATGTAAGTTTGAAGACTAAAGCTAATATCAATCGCCGTGTAATCTAGGGACCATTCTGACCATCCTCTCTGGGAAGTGGGCAGAGTTTCACCTTTCTTTTTATTTGCTTGATTGCCACACACGTAAGGGATGCCCTTAAATTGGTTTTCTGCTGTGTGGGCTCCAAAACTTGCCGTTTCTCCAGGCCGAATGTTGCTTCCTACCTGTTTTCACTGTGCTTACTCCTTCTCCCACACTCTCGACTATTCCAGTTCCTTCGTGGCCCAAAATGATGGGGCAAAACTGGGAAAGCTCTTTATCATCCAGACTTTTTATATCCGTACCACAGATTCCTGTGGCCACCATCTGCGTGGAAAGCACAGAGAACTGAGATTTTTCTGTCGCGAAGGAGCTTCAGGTCTGCGGCTCTGTGATGGTTTCTAGTGCAGCGCTTCTAGTCAGCACTCATTGGTGATAGCTGTCAACAATTATTTCTGTAAAAGAGCGTGGTGTTCTACCTCCACTAATTTCCAAGCTAAGAATGTCGAGTCACAGTTTAATGATTTCAGAAGAGAAGCTGGGGAAGCACACCGCGTGCTTTGGGGAGTGGCTTCTCCACTGCTGTGAGAAACTATCCCAAACAGCTCGCAAAAGGAAGAGTTTACCCTGGGCTATTCTTTCAGAGGGAGACCTGAGGAATGGAGAGAGGGGCACGGCAGCAGACAGCCAGAGCAGGAAACTGAGAGAATACATCTTCAACCAGAAAAGGAACCAGAGCGCATTCTAGATGTAAGGGAAGGCTGTGAACTCCCAAAGCCTGTCCCCGATGTCTTCCTCTGGCCATGGCTCTCTCAGTAACACCATCACAACAGCACCATCGACTCAGGACCAAGTTCAGACACTTGAGTCTAAGGGGGAAGAGTCCAGTTGAAATCACCTCAGTATGGTGCCAAAGATCCGACCTGACTTGAGAGCGGAAGTGTGGAGGAAGGCTACTAATTATAGGATTAGAAGGTAGAGACGTGAGACACATTTAAAAGGTGTGTTAGCAATCCTGCTTTAGTGTAAGTCCCAACTCTGTTTTGCTGACACAATTGGAGGAAGTGTATTCAAACCTCCTGGACCCAGAACTGCACCCACCAACCTGTTTTCGTCTTCGTTATTTTGTTCTGGTTCTGACACTATAGCTGGAATGTTCCTGGCAATCTTCGGCAGACAGGTTTTTTTAATTTATCACAATCACCTGAATGATAATCGTTAGCAGCGCCATCCCCACCCAGCCCATCTCCTGCTTGCCATCACCTCCCTTGCTCTATATTCTGGTTCAAATGCAACAGGTGAGAGAGTCACATTGCAGCTTGTCAGAAAATGGTTGGGTGTCTTGAGTCTAAAACTAGTTGTGAGAGTTGTAACCTTGCTGGAGAGTGCTCGATTGGGATGTTAAATACCACCCTCCTCGCTCAGTAGAGAATAGACGTCAGAGAAGGTTCCTTGAGAGGAGGGTATGGTGTGTGTGGGTAAGGGAACTTAGAACTATCTTTCTGTAGTCCATCTGTAAATAATACCTACTTTCCACTGCTGTAATGGAAATGATCTAATGACCTTGAACCGCAAGTCACACGAACTGCTTTCTAGCTCTCTGGGAGCCAGCTAGAGTCATCTCAGGATATGTCCTCTCCAAACCAATCAATCCATAACTTCAGAATCTCAGGGATGAGATGCAGTTGGCATTTTTCCAAGCTGCTCAGTGATTTACAAGCGTGTAACCAAGCTTGAAAACCCCCATCGAGTGAGTTTTCTCATTCTACTAAGCAGTGTGAACAGATACCAACCCTCCCAAACTTTTCCTGGACAGAAGGAAAATGTGGCTTTCTTTTTGAGTTGGAAATTCTGTAAAGGATATAATTTACAGTGAACAGCTTTGGGTTTGACGTGGAAATGTGGATTTTGTTTTACCTTTATTCGAACTTCCTTTGCCCTTGGTGGGGCCACTTCTATCTCCTCAATGTCCATTGGGGCCCCAGGTGTCCAGAGCACAGCGGCTTTGCATTTGATCACCTGGGTAGAGCAGATGAGGGGAGAAAGGAAGACTTAGCAGATCTGAAAGGTGAGAGATTCTTACATTAATCAGTACTAGAAAGTACTTAATTCAACTAGACTCAAGAGGAAAAATAAAAGAATTGGAAAATTTAAATATATACTCATGGTGGCTGTTAAACCAATACAATTTTTTCTTAAGCTTTCAGCCTCTATATTTAAATTGGTCTAACAAATAACACATATTTATAGAAAAGCACACATATATGTAAGAGTCTTGCTATGTAGCCCAGGCTATCCTTGATCTTGTGATCCTCCTGCCTTCACCTTCCTGGGCTGCCAATATAGGCACATGCCACCACTCTTGGTTAGATGCTAAGCATTTGCTTTTTATCATGAATGAAATTACCCACTAGTTACTTAAGAGTTGTAATGAAATTATAATGTGGGCTTATTTGTTATCCTAGATATGAGGGATTTAGGAGGGAAGCACTGAGTTATAGAGCAAGAGTAAAGTCCATATAATGGTGGCAATCAATAAATGGTGATGGAATCGTTGGAGATTGGTATTGGAGAGATTCCTGATGCAAAAGCAGTTCTTAGGGGTTCAGATATCAACCCATCATATTTCTTATAAATTATCTTCCATTTTTATGTATTCAGTCACAACTTTTGTGTAAATGACTTGGATAAACTGTATCTATAGGGCAGGTTTCCCCTAAAGATTTAGATAAGCATTTTTATGCTGTTTGACTGTCTTCCATATACTGTGAACTCAACATGTTAATATATAAACAAGACATTCTTTCTCTCATCTGTACCCTAGAGGACACAGTACACAATTTACTTTCCTTGTTTCAACCATAAAATTCAATCATTCACCCAAGGCAGAAACCCAGGAAGTAACCTTAATTTCTCTCTGTCCTCATTGCTAGCAATCAGATACTTTCTGGAATCGGTGTCCTCCTCTCCTTTCTTGCTACTTCTCTGGGGTCTGGACACTTTCTGGAATCTGTGCCCTCCTCTACTTTCTTCCTACTTCTCTGGGGTCTGGACCCTTATATTGCCTTTCACATGACCCATTGAAAAAGGGCTTTCTGCTCCACTGGCTGGTGTTATCATCTTCAGATGCACCCTCTTTACCATTGCATCAGCCATCTCCCAGACTAATACATTAGAAGTGATGCTTCTGCTAGCTGCTTAACAGCATCCATGAATATCATAGTCTTCTCCTTGTCTCTCTGCAGTCCTATTTCCTGCCACTTTCTGCCTCAGCCTTGCTTTCTTGGAGATTATCAAGTGGGAGATCCTCTGGCCTCTATACTTTCCCTGAGGTTTCAGTTGCTTACAAAGTCTTGTCCTCTATTACCTGGTGAGTCTCTGTCTTTCAGATAAGTTTCTCCCTCAGTGCCACCTGCTCTGGGAAGCCAGTGTAAGTTTGAAAATTTCCTTGAACTGCCGTCTTCCAGATCTCTTTTGTAGTCCTTGCACAGCTTTTAGCTAATTATTAAAATGTAGACAGTTAGGTCTTTGTATGATTATGCAATGCTTGGTTTAAAAATGGAACAATTAAATGAAGGGATAATTAACTTAGCTGGAATTGACATAATGTTAATTATTATTTTGATAATCTTTATTGTCAGTTTGATAATTCTTGGTTTATCTCTTTTAAAAAAAAAGCTCTTTGATGTGAGTGCCAAGATATAGGCCTTAGAAAAACTTAATAAAACAGATCATAGAGATATTCAGATCCATACAGATGAATTTAAAGGAAAACCAATTTTAGCATCATATTATAAGGTTAGAGAGGATCAGCTAAGGTTTTCAAGCAACCAAATTTAATTTATCCAGCATCCTTACAGAAATTGCCAAATGATAGGTATCTTCAAAGCCGAATGGACTCCTGTGAAAATGTTAGATTTAAGGAAACTCAAGGAAGTGATAATCTCATATGGCATGTATTCACCTTTTGCGGAGAAGATGTTAAATTTGTGGTAACTTGTAATAGAATTATCTCTCAAGACTGGAAAGGCTTGGTTACAGCAGTCTTGGATCATGGTCCTCAATTACAGTGGAGGACTTGTTGGAAAGATGAGGCTAGGGCTGGAGGTATAGACATCTCCCAAGACCAACTTCTTGGAGAAGGAGATTATGCTAATGTACAAAGGTAATTTCTATATGATGACCACACCCTGGCTTTATACTTTGCAGCAACTTTGAATACTTGGGACAGTATTGAAGAAATAGGAAAGAAAATCGAGCCATTTACTAAGGTTATACAGGGTCCAAAAGAAACCTTCACTCATTTTTCTTTAGTTTTAAAAAGAATGATACCAAATTCAGAAGCTAAATGAATAATAATAGAATCTCTGGCTTTTGAAAATGCTAATGCACAATACAAAAGGGTAATTAGGCCTTTAAAGGCAAGATGAACACCCTTGGAGGAATGGGTCTGAGATACAATCGATATTGAATCTCGTGACCATAATGATGTTTGGATAGGAGAGGTGATTTCCAGAGGTTTGAAGAAAAATCGATATGTTGAGTGTTTCAATTGCAATAAACAAGGTCATCTAAAAAGGGATTGCAAACAGGGTGTTCCTAGAAACAATGCTTTTTCCTAAGAATAATTCAAACAGAATGCCCCTCCCTTTTGGAGTATGTAGAATGTGTGACAAAGGCAGGCACTGGATGAATGAATGTAAATCAACAAGAGATATTTAAGGTTGGCCAAGATCAGAAACACTGATGACAACTTATGCTGGAGAGGTTGTAGGGTAAAGGGAAAACTTCTGCATTGCTAGTGAGAATACAAGCTGGTACAGCCCCTTTGGATGTCAGTGTAGTGATTTCTCAGAAAATTAGGAAACAACCTTCCTCAAGATCCAATAATACCACTTTCGGGTATATATCCAACAGATGCTCAATCATGCCACAAGAACATGTGCTCAGCTATGTTCATAGCAACTTTGTTTGTCATAGCCAGAACCTGGAAACAACCTAAATGCCCCTTGACCAAATAATGGATAAGGAAAATGTGGTACATTTATACAATGGAGTACTACACAGCAGAAAAAATAATGACATCTTGAATTTTGCAGGAAAATGGATGAAGCTAGAAAACATTATTTTGAGTGAGGTAACCCAGACACAGAAAGACATTATCACATGTACTCATTCATAGGTTGTGTTTAAACATAAAGCAAAGAAAACCAGCCTACAAACCACAATCCCAGAGAACTTAGACAACAATGAGGACACTAAAAGAGACTTACATAGATCTAATCTACATGGGAAGTAGAAAAAGACAAGATCTCCTGAGTAAATTGTGTACATGGGGACCATGGGGGAGGGTTGGAGAGGGGAGGGGAGAGACAGGGAGGGGAGCAGAGAAAAATGTAGATAGTGTAGGAGGTCCTTCTGTCCATGTGTTGCTTTCATTGGTTAGTGAATACAGAAACTGCCTTGGCCTAGTGGATAGGGCAGAACTTAGGCAGGCGGGGAAAACAGATCTGAATTCTGGGTGGAAGAAAGGGGGGTAGGAGAGAAGCCATGGATCCTCTACCTGAGACACCAGTTAGAATTTTACCTGGTAAGCCACTGTCATGTGGTGATACACAGATTAATAGAAATGGGTTAAAGTAAGATGTAAGAATTAGCCAATAAGAAACTAGAGCTAATGGGCCAAGCAGTGTTTTAATGAATACAATTTCTGTGTGATTATTTTGGAGCTAAGCCAGTCGGGCAGCCGGGATGGGACGAATAAGCAGGCCCTCCATCCTTGTAACATGTAGCACTCAATAAAAATCAATAAAAAAAGATATTCAAGGTAACCCTTTTGCTGTTGGGAAACTCCCTGGGGGTCTCTTCTGCAGGCCCCATGCCAAATTTGTTTCAGTCATTCCCTGATGTCATGAAGGATACGTCTTCCCAGAGTAATTAAAGAATCTAGTGCCTTTTGTGAAAAACACGATTATTTCTCTGGATGAACAGCTTTAGCAGATAAAACAAAAATTTCAGGAGAAACCATGAAAATATAAAGATTCGAACAAGAGAGACCTCTTGATTAGGAGAGATAATATTTCATCAAATAGCTTGGCCATTCAGTCTAACCTAACTTATATGACTAACAAATGCTTCTCCTTTGTTCAGATATAACTTGCTGAAAGGTAACCTCCCCAAAGTTAGGGTTGGGGCAGGGTTTTGTTTTCATCTTTTCCGGAGAATGAAGGCATCCAGCTAAGGAATCTAAAGACCACTGGACAAATGAGACATGGGAAGAAATAGGACAAAAAAGTCCCAAGAAAAGAGTAATTAGCCTATTTGTATATCATATCTCCAGCAGGATAAAATTTCATAAATCTTCCCAAATGTTTGTTTCTGCTGTTCTCTACAGACACATAATGCAAATGGTCTTTTTGTAGTCCCAGTTCAATTGAAAATTAAAGCTGCTTTGGAGTAAATGTGCGGCTCTCTCCTTCTCTAAACCCAAGCATGCTTATTAAAGTAAAATCCAAAGTCTCTGTCTCATGTCAGAAGAGTCTTTATATGGGATAGAAGGAAAACCAAAAACTTAGGAACTATTGTATTACCACTAATATCATAATCCTTTGGTTTTATTTTGATTCTTTAACAACTTTTCTTAAGGCATAAATATTATCTCAAATTAATAAGATTAATATATATATGCATATATGTATTAAATTTTTGTCATGATATTAATGGTCATTATAGTACTAACTGATTTTAGGATATGTAGTGGTATTTCAATTGTATTTTAATAAATAAAGCTTGCCTGGGGGTTGGGAGACTAACACAGCCACACTGGTCAGCCTTATAGCCAGGCAATGGTAACACACACCTTTAATCCCAGTAACCACACTAGTTGCCATAGAAACTGAGTGATGCATGCTTTTAATCCCAGTGGTGCATGTCTTTAATCCCAGCCCTAGAGAGGATTATAAAACGGGAGGAGACAGCTCTCAGTCACAGTCTCATTCTGAGATTCCTGGAGTCAGGATCGCCATTTCAGACTGAGGTGAGGGTAAAAGCCAGTGGCTGGCCGCTTTACTTTTCAGATCTTCAGGCTGAGCCCCAATTTCTCTCTCTCTCTCTGAGTTTTTAATTAATAGTGTTTCAAGGAAAAGGCATCATCTAGCTTCCTGTACATGACTTCAGGTGTGGGTCTCTATCAAGTAACTAGGAATTATGTTTTTTTTATACTCTGGATGTACATAACCAATATTGATCTTTAACCTCTTTGAGATGTGCTGCAAATGACATTTAAAATGATCTAAGGGACCAAGGAAATGCTTAGGTGATGTTGAGGATTCAGAACCTACTAGCCATTTGATGGTAGCAGTTTTTTAGAAGTGTGCCAAACAATTGAGGTAGCACCCGTAACATATAGCAAGTGAAACTATTAGTAGTACTGTAACTACTGAATGTGTAGTTAGAATAGTTGGGGCAGCTTTGCCCTTATTAGAGACAGAGAACAGGCAAGAAAACCATTTAAAGTATCCTTGGCAGGCTTTGTAATAGGTATCAATAAGATTGATGCTTTGCGCTGTCACCAGAAGTTGTAGACCACGGAGGAGGCCACTTGTCCCGTTCATGAGTTCAATGAGCCTTTCATTGGCCAATTTAAGCTCAGAAGTCAGCCACTGAGTTTCTTTTACTGTGTTCTCATGAAGAAGAGACAAAGTTAGTGAAGACAAATTTTCCACATTATAAATAACCTAAGTCCTACTTAGCATGGTGAAACATAGCTCTGTAGCTGGCTGGACAGTGCACCAGAACCTTCATAGTAGAATCTCGTCGAAGGGTAACATCAAAGAAATTCTCTGTTCTATGTCTCAATCCATGTAGGTCATAGTTGACAGATCGAAGAGCGACTGGACAGTCAGCTGTTGTTACATTAGACTCTTGAACAAGGAGTGACCACTTGGAAACTTTGTAAGAGTAGGTAAAGTACTTGGCCCACTATCAGTAATAGATACACTAGATACCTCTGCCCGGATAGGTGTAATGCCCAGTGGACGTGGACAGTATGGGTCACACCTGACTGAAATCTAGATGCCACAATCCAGAGTCCCAACCAGACAGTGGCAACTAACTAGTAAACTAAAAGAGGAGTGAAGAGTGGTTTTTTTTTTTTTTTTTTTTGCAGAATTGTGTCGCAGTGTTCCAAGGACATCATTTGGGCATCCTGAATAATTTTTCAAACCCTAGTTTGACAACAGGACATGTGGCAATATCCTTTGGTCACTGTCCATGAATGGTCAGAGTTGAGACGTGCCCTTCTGGAGATAGTGTTCGGTAGTTGGAAAACACAGCTTTCCACAGAGCTGGCCTCAATAACTAAGAATCTAGGACTGTTTCCTTTTCCCCTGCAGATAAACACTGCAGTGTTGAAGTAAGTTAAGGGTTTTATCCTGTGTCTGTGCAATGTATATATTTATCAGGAATAGAACCATTAGTGAGAATGTTGTACAAATAATTTATCATACCATGTCTGAGGACTGTAGTTCCTTAAACTGTTAAAAAACACGGATTGTCTTCATTCTGGTTATACCTTTAGCTGACTGTTTAAGACTGTGTAGGGGGCCAAAATTAATCCTTCCTTTTTTTCTTCTAAGGGCAGCTGAAGTTGGTCCTCAGGCATGACTTGACCTCAGGAGAAGCCCCTGGCTCAGCTGGTCTTTCCTTTGCCATTTCATCCATCTATGTGAGGATAAGTCAAAGCCTTGCTTGACCAGTGTTTCACTTGGAAGTGTGGCATCAGTCTTTCCTGTGTTGACCATCCTCTACAGACTGGACACTTGTTAGAGTTCACTCAGTGATATATCTAAGACCATGCAGGACAAGAGAGCAGGTGGTTCCCCACAGTTACATAACATTTCAAAAGATGTTGTACAGTTCCTTGGGACTTAGTTGCCCTTATAGGACAATGGTGAAGACATCTTCTCTTTTAATTCCTCTGACCACATCGGTGTAGTCTCCAGGTGTGGTTATTGAACACCCAGAAGGTCATTTGTAGCAGTTTGTTATTTTTATTTAATGTATAATGGTATGGTAAAGTTTAATCAGAAGTTAAAGTGTGGTCATTGGACCAACAGATATTCTTACCACTCTGAAACTGTTAGAGAAGAAAGTCCCATTATAAACCCACTGACCTGTGAACATCTAATGTCTCCAGATGGTAAAAAGATCTGGGAAGTGAGACTTACACAGGTAATTTATCAGTAGAATGTAAGTTAAATAAGAATTGTTCTCGTCATGAGAATTGAGTAAAAATGTATGAAAGGAAACTAAACACCTAAGGTTTTACAATTCTACATTAATTTTTTTCAGTCTTAAATTACATTTTAAATTTCAAATATAAGGAAAATTGAAAGAAAGGCTATAATCCTTTGTCCTTATTATTGCCTGTACTGTTGGAATAATTTTTTTTAACCATTTGAAACCTTCTCAATTGTTCTTTGAATATTTAATTATAATTTAAATTGTTATTTCTTCTATTACAAGTGCAGTATACATTCATTACAAGAAATTTCAAAATATAAGTAAGAAAAAATCCATCTATACTCTTACTACTTTCTTTCTCTTTATGTTGTAAAGCCCTCGGGTGTCCTCACATGGGGTCATATACACAGCATTTAGTAATCTACCTTGTCCCATTCATTCCCATGCTATAAATACACACACTGCATTGATGCTTAGAGCAGAGGTAACTTAATTTTCCCCTCATCCTCATTTAAATAATGTGTGAGTACCCAAGAAGACTTCAGCAAATCCAGAGTTGCTTTTTCTTAGAACCAATTTCTAGCTTGTGGACTGTTCCTCTCCCTTTAGTTGGCTTTAATTTGCTGTGCCTTGATTGTAACCTGGGGGGCAGCATCTTCAGTAAATGTGCAGAGACCCAACAGAAGCAGAAGCTAAATGTAGATACAGGTTGTTTACTTACTTTTCCCCTGGTGCCCATTTTCCTCAGGAAGCTTGCTTTGGAAGTCTTTCTGACTGGTCTTTCACCTCTGCCCAGAATGCTTTGTATCGTGTGCTGAGAACTCTGAATAAATAGCATTCCTGCTGGTTGGTTGTCCAATCACATGCCTGACTGATTCTTTCTGTGACATTTGTACTGTCATAGTTCAAGCTGGCACCAAGAGCTTTTTTTAATTAGTTCTTTTCTTATCTTTTATTACAATATATCGAATAGAGAAAAGCGCATTAATTGTATAAAGCCGAGTTACAGATAACCACCTAGTAAAGATGTTTCAGTTGCTCTGGAGCTTCCCTCTTCCCCACTCTTCTCTTTTACAGCCTGATAATTTCCTTGTATATTCATTGTTTTGCTACATATTTGTGCTTTCCTATCCAATAGTTTAGAGTATTAATAAGTTCGTGCAATAATAGACTAATTATAGACTAATAATAGTCTAATAACAGACTCCTAGTCTGTGTGTCCTTCCAAGTGTTTCCCTCTCAGTTCTGTTTGTAGATCACTCACAGTGAGGCCCATATTTCTATGTGATGTGGCAGCCAGGCTCTAAAGCCATAGTCGGTATCTGAAGTGGTCACTTAGCCTTCCAGACAGGCTGTCGCTAACCTAACGAAAGGTCCAGATGTTGCTCTGCTCTTTCTTTTTAATTTGGAGGATGCCTGAAAAGAAATGCTAATTCACCCTACACAAGAGAGCTAGCATACAGACCAGGAAGATGTGGACATGACTGAAAGCCATTCACCTGGTTACCGAGGAAACAGAATGCTAATATATTTCCCCCTCAGTTAAATTTTGGTATAAAGACTGTTTGGAGAATACAGAGAGAACTTCAGGATATGAACTCAGGATTTCATGAGGGATCACTGAGAATCTCCCTCCCGATAAAACTATGTGAGTTGTGACTTTATTCCTGCGCCTCCACGCTGGTCCAGAAAGAGAGATAGCTTATGTTGGGGTCTGGTCCAGAGAAATAATTTGTGGTCCGGGCTAGCACCAGACTCTGACATCACAGTGCCTTAAATTATAGTTTATTTTGCTTCCGGGTGGGCATTCTACTGTATGAACCATAACTCATGCACCCCCTTTTCTCTCTGCTCTTTTTTTCTAATCATGGTGACTCAGTGGCTACACAAAAGCTCTCTTCATGAGCCCTGCTGCAGGAGTGCTCCAGTTTGCTTATGCAACATCCAAGACTGATACAGCTGGAACATGCTAACAGGGCAACTGACCGTTGGAACACTGAAAACACTTTTGTTAAGGGTGCTCAAAAGCTGCCAGAGTCCCTTTCAACTGCTGTGATCAGGGAGCCATGTAGCCACTATTGGGAACAACTCTCACTGTCCCTCTGGATGTGTGTGCCTGAACACAGTCCCAGTGGCTCTGGGTCTCACAGTGTCCTCCACAGACAGCAGGGCTGCAGCCCCTGAGGACCAGTGCTTAGAGGCTGCCTGACCTGGGGCTCTGAGCGCTGGTGCTGAGGGGCAGAGAAACTAGCACATGATGGCTGTTTGGGAAAAGGGACGTCTCCAACTGACGACCAACTCAACTTTTCAAAATTATATTTTATCTTTAAGTTTATGACCTTAGGGGCTGGAGAGATGGCTCAGAGGTTAAAAGCACTGACTGCTCTTCCTGAGGTCCTGAGTTCAATTCCCAGCGACCACATGGTGACTCACAACCATCTGTAATGAGATCTGGTGCTCTCTCTGGCGAGTAGGCATATATGCAGACAGAACACTGTGTACATAATAAATAAAAACCTTTAAAAAAAAGTTTATGACCTTAGTCCAATGTAAAAAAATCATATATCCATCACTCCAGAATGTGAGTGGAAGAGTTCGCTGTCCCCCAAGTTCCTCCTGCTGTGTCTTACTTAAAAGTTCTGCTCCACAGCTGGCTGGCTTTGCCTCTGTAGTCTCGCTGTATCTTCTGACTCCATCCTGATTGATCACACTTTGGGCTGCTCTGGGAACAGAGCAACTCATATTTACAAACTGACTGGACCTCTGAGTGACAGGGTGTGGAGACTCAGGCTCAGAGTCACCAGGCTTAAACCTGATCTATGGTGGTGCAAGGACACGTGATTGTGTGATCTTTGTTTCCCTGACCGTCGCTGAGGATCAGCAGTTTGGTGTTCTGGACACAGGTTTTCTGCTCATCTATTAGGTAATGAGAGCTTTGTAAAGATCATTGTTTTTCAGTTTTCATTCCTTATATTACTCTTAATTTTTTGCTTTACATATTTAAACTGTTTATTACATGTATTAAGTTTGTGTATGTAAGTGAGGGTTGGCTGAAGTGATCAGGATTGGAGGCAACTGCCTTTGCCTGCTGAACTGTCTTGCTGACCCTGCTTTTTTACAATTTGATCTGTGAAAGTTCTGTATTCTGTGTTTTAAGAGTTTAAAATATTTTTGCCCTCTTTCCTTGTGAGTATGGTTCTTTTTAGCTTTGTCCATCTTTTTCATATTCCCATAGTATTCACTGGTTTTCTTTTCTTTTTTTTAAATATTTATTTATTATGTATACAATATTCTGTCTGTGTGTATGCCTGCAGGCCAGAAGAGGGCATTACAGATGGTTGTGAGCCACCATGTGGTTGCTGGGAATTGAACTCAGGACCTTTGGAAGAGCAGGCAATGCTCTTAACCTCTGAGCCATCTCTCCAGCCCTCACTGGTTTTCTTGACCTCAGTAACTTATTATTGAATTAAGTTATTTTTATTTAACTTTTTAAGCTATAATGCATGTTCTCTATTTTACTTTCTTACTACCTACCCTACGAAATGAAGGGAAGAAAACATCCCGGGTCAGTGAGGTTAAGAACAAAACTCAGGTCAGCATGACTTTAGCCAGTGCTGGATCAGAAAACTTCTGGAGTCTGACCAAGCGGTTTTTTTTTTTTCTTACACATTTACAGCTAATAAAACTTTAAATAAAAGTTCTTTCTTGACAGTCATCACAACGCTTTAGGCTTGACTCCTGGATACTCTCTTGAAAGGTATATTATTTATTTATTTATTATGTTTTTGAGACAGGGTTTCTCTGTCGCTTTGGAGCCTGTCCGGGCACTCACTTTGTAGACCAAGTTGGCCTTCAATTTATAGAGATCTGTCTGTCTCTGCCTCCCAAGTGCTGGGATTAAAGGCGTGTACCACCACCGCCTGGCTGCCTGGCTGCAAAATTCATCTCTTTAGCAAAACACCTATTTACTGAAAATAGAATCCATTCTTATGGTGAAGGTACCATATCTATCACCATGCACAAAACTCAAGTCCAGATGGATCAAAGGCCTCAACATAAAATCAACCACACTGAATCTCATAGAAAAGAAAGTGGGAAATACACTTGAATACATTGGCACAGGAAATCATTTCCTAAATATAACCCTAGTAGCACAGACACTGAGAGAAACAATTAATAAATGGGACCTCCTGAAACTGCGAAGCTTCTGTGAAGCAAAGGATATGATCAACAAAACAAAATAGTAGCCTACAGAATGGGAAAAGATCTTCACTAACCCCACATCAAATAGAGGTCAAAAAAAAGACAGGTTGTTTTGTGAACATACATACACACTTAAAGTAGATATGTCTACAAGCAATTAGCATGTCCAGCCTAAAGCACCAAGGAAGCTGAAAAAGAAGAAAGGAGGGAGGGGAGGGGAGGATGGAGAATTGGATGGTGATCTTTTGCTAGTCTCTGAAGCCAACCTTCAGTAGAACTTTCCCAAATCCTGAACATTGTTTAGGCCCTAATCCTGAGCTTTGTCACTCACTGAATAGAACTTATCCTCCTGAATTGGGGGCCATGGAATGGGCATTCTCCATCAACAGAACCCATCTTCATGCTTTGGAACCCTTCCTCCATAGGACATTATTCTGAACACTGTTTATCTGGTACAGAATCCTCTTTTTTTCCAACTCGAACATGGCTTATTCTCTTATGTTGGCTTTGACAGGAGTGTTTCTATTCTTTTTCTCAGGGTTCCAAAGCTCCCCTGGCCATTCTAAAGCACTGACAAGCTCTGTGACCCCTTTTCATTTCCTCTTCCCACTGTTACTAATTTGCAGATCAGGTTCTCATTATTTCTTGTTTACACTGTTGTAGTAATCTTGACAAGGAGCCTCCTGCTGGCACAGCTCTGTCTGCAGTTGCTGTTTCCAAACACTAGATTCACATTCCTAACAGTTTCTTAAAAAAAAACTTTTCTCTCTCTTTCTCTAGTTTTTAAAAAAAGATAACTTTTCTGGTATAAGCATCCAGAACTCTCTAAATCTTCCCAAATCAACCTCAGAACTCACTCAGGTGTTCCCGAACACTTACCCACACACTAAACACTATTGACCCTTTCCTTTATGTTCCTGGTTTGTCTTGCTCCCCGGTGCTCTCTGCATCCTCCTCTGACCCTCTTGCTTCTGTGCTGCCCTGCGTGGAGCTGTCCCACAGCTGTCTTGCCTACTAAACTCTGAGCTATCCTTCAGACGTACAGGCTTTGTCTTCTCCACTCTGTCCTGGCTTGTTAGGCACACTGAGATAGCCACATGAGCCCCAGCTGATTTCATGTTTTACTGAGGTGATGTGGAATGAGCGAGGGATGGTCTGTGGGTTTAGTAGTACGTCATTTAGGATTGAGATAGTATTTTATTTTACATAAAATGTATTTCATAGAGTACTTTAGAATATTTGAAAACATCAGGTACTTGACAAATGATGGTCCAGTTAAATAAATATCTTCGTTGGAAGCCCAATAAGCCTTAGCACAGATCCAGCATTAATACACTTTTCCATGTGCTTGTGGTCTTTCTTTTGTGCTATAATTCCCCCAGCTTCTTTGAATGTAAGTGTGAACTGAAGTCTCCCGAACAAAGTCACGGCTGTGTGGAAGGGTCTGCAAGGCTACTGGTTAGTTAGAACTTACGATGGTCCAGAGTTGAAATGTTGGCTGTCCAGATCTATAATCCCCTTAGCTCACCACCACATCGGTGTGAACTGACATCCTTGTGAATGTCACTAGACTTCTTTGATATG